CGCTGTCCTCTCAGCGCCCTCCTCTTCCTCTCGCAGCTTCTCCTGCAGCCGCTTCACCTCCTCTTCCAGCTCCTGCACCCTCCGCAGGAGCCGGTCGTGCTCGGGCACCGCGCTGCCCTCGGCCATGGCTGTGAATTTGCCGCTGGTGGCTCCTGCAGAGAAAAGAAATCGGGGGGTTTATCATTTTATCTGGTTTTTATCATACCTAGAGGCTTGCTCTGTAAAATGACTGTTTCCCATGGGATCTATTATTTAAACCCTCACAGGAATGGCTCCTTGTCTCCTTTTTTTGGGGCTTTTTCATCCCCAGGCGCCGCTCGCTCGGATCTGCTCCGTCAGCACGGAGCCCTTTACACTTTCTTCTCCACCACTCCTTAAACCTTGCGTTTTTGCCAAGTAAAGACAGCCGAAATCTGCACCGGCGCGTGGAAACCGCATCCCTTCCCGCAGCAGATCTCGACGCTTACCCTACCCAGACTCAAGCAGCCTTCGGGCTGCGACAGCCAGCGCCTAATGGCACTGCGCTGAGCCGCCTCCTCCTCCTCCGTGGAGGTAAAACACTCTTGTGGACGTCCCCAAATTAAATCGGGACTGAAAACCGCGTTTTGAAAAGAAGAGGCACAAGGGAAAAAGGATGAATATGAAGCAGACTGAATCCACCCTGCATTTGTCCCTCGTCCCGTTAGTACTTCATGTAGCGTGTAATTAATGTTAGCGTTGTTTGCCAGCAGGAGTCTGAGGCTTTCAGGGCTGCGTTTCCGTTTGTAGGAAAGACGGCCAGAGCCGTGTGCTGGTGGCAGGAGCTTTGGCAGCGCCCCGAGACCCCCACCACCTAAATCCACGCCCCTGAACCCCACAGATTGAGACCCAGAGCCCCCTTTACACCCTCAGCCAGCTGGAAAGCGCTGAAGAAATTAATTATCCTGGATTTTTTGGTTTGTTTTGCAGAGTCCCCACAGTTTGGTGGAAACCATGGAGGACTGGATGGGCCCGGATGACGAGGAGCAGCCGTACGCCCCGCCGGGAGATCCCTACGCCAAGGCCTCCGTCGTTTTGGGGGGGAGGCCGTTTCCCATGGCCACCCCGGGCCGGAGGCGGCTGGTGATGAAAAGGAAGGTGCTGAGGCACAGGCCCGACGGAGTGGTGGAGGTCTCTGACGAGTCGGTGGCCACCGAGCCCGAGAGCGATGCTGAG